TTGCGGTTTCGCCTTTCCTCTTTCTGCGCTGGCGCTCGAGCGGTGAAATTGACTAAAGCGCGGCTGGGCAAGTTCCTAGGCGTGCAGTGCCGGCTGAACCTGACAGTCATGACATCCAGACCACACTTACCTACCTTGCTAACCAGAACGTCATAGGATGCTTGTCAAATGTGGAAATCAAACTGTATTACATTTGTAGCTACCCCATGCCTTCCTAAAGAAGCTATCAGATTTTTTTTAAAAATGAGATTTCAAACCATGCAGAGTAAAGAGGTCCTCTGACCTTTTTCTGTCTGTCCCAGAAATCAATTTTTTCTCTCTGCTATGGCCTGGTGGAACACATATTCTCTTGTTGGAGAAGACTGAGACAAAATAGGAGTACAGCTTTGTTTTTTCTTTGATTCCTTTTAGCATTTTATTGTCTTCCCTTAGCAGTTGGTATACTGATTATTTCTTTTTCCTCCTTTTATTGAAATATATCTAAGGAAGCACTTGTTGTTGTTGTTCTTAGCATTATTAATCTCACCTCATTCCAAGTTTTCACTTTCCTTACTTCTTCTCTACAGTTCTGGACACGAGGATCCATAATGGGGCAGCGAGGGGTGAAAAGTAGATGTAGGAAGCCATCCTTCTTCTTGATAAATGAAGTACATTGTGTGACAGGAGAAGGAGCAGTTAAAATCCTTTTGTAAGTTCTCATGGATAAATTCTTTCAGGCAAACCAAATTTATTTGACACTGGATAGCGACATCTTACAGGAACCTAAGCTTCAGAAGTCAGATGGCACAATCAGAGAACAGAAGGATTGGGACTTTCTCTGCAAGTTTGGGCTTCACTTAATTTTTGATTGCCCCATCCTTTAATTTCTTCAGAAGTGGGATGGCCTTATTTCCCAACAAGCCAACTTCAGAGCATTTAGGGCATGTGTTTGCCAAACGACCCTCTTCTCCACAAGTACAACACTTTCTTTATCCGTCAGGATCACAAGAAGGGAAGTCTGAAGTGTCCAGGTTCTTCACAGTATAGCAGTATGGCTTAAGGATGTCAGAAGAGATGTATGCCTTTGAGAAGAGAAACATTTATTACAATCTAGCACCAGTGCAGAATGGGAAATTAATATCAGAATTATAAGTATTGTTTCTTCAGTAATTTATCAAGTGATTCTGGATATCACTATGGACACCAGCAGACAATTTTTGAATTACAGTGTCCCAATAATCCAACAACACACCTTTTTAGCCATACCAGCAAAGTTTATTCTAAATGTTTTCAGACTATCAGCTAATAATATATCTTTATCGTGACAAAGTATCTCCACTCATGCTTGTTATATCAATAAGCAATTGCTTCCAGTAATGTTCTAAAATGATGCACCCATACCGCATATTTACTTGTTGTCAAAGAATGTTTGAAGGATTAACTTTACAAGCCTTAATGGAACAATAATTCAGAGACTTCTTCAGATATAGAAGAATTTGAAGCTTCAGCCAGAATAAAGGAAGAATTGATTCTGAGGGCCCCTGGCAAAGTCTAAGATCAATTACTGATGGCTGAAATCTAAAAGCATTCTTCTTGATGTTCAGTGCAAGGGATTTTAAAATGTGTTCATTTTTCATGTACACATTGACTAATGGTACAGTTGTTGTTGACAAATCCATGTAGATTTTTCTGGTTGCTTTCAGTCGTGCAGGGGCTAAGGTGAAGGCAGAGAACAAATAAAGGTAAAAAATTGTGAATATAATTCAATAATATGTAGTTATGAAAAACCCTGTATTATAGCAGCTCAGTCTGTGGTTTTTTAAAAATATATTATTAATTCAACAACAATAGTCATTTACGTCTATTGGACACCCATGGATCTTTTCAGAAAAGAATCAATGCGTTCAGCTAATTGCTGGAGATGTGGCATTCAGAATGGAACACTGATTCATATAATTCATGAATGCTCCATATTC